TGCACGTATAAGACTCAGTCACTGTCCACTAAGGAGCAACTTAGTCTGTTGGGGATGGGGCACGAGCCCCCAAACAGAGAACTACCACAAGGCAGAAGAAACCAAGTGCCAAGGGGGCAGGACAAAGGGATGATGTGTGTTCTAGCTAAGAGGAAGGGAAAGACAGTTGTCTGATGGAAAATATAAAGTCAGAGGAGAGCTGCTGGAAAAGATAGAACCTGAACAGTGCTTCAGAGGGTGGGGAGTATGGGGGAGTGAAAGACAGAGACAAGGGGAGGGGAGAGACTTCAGGCTCAGGGAAAGAGGTCTGTCTCAGTTTCCTCATCTGTAACAGAGGAGTAATAATAGTACCCTCTGTGACAGGTTTGTGAGGATTAAGTAAGTTAATACATGTAAAGCATTTTAGAATGGCGCCTGTCACTTGGTAAATGTTACTCTTATTTGTGTCAGAAAGAAGTGGGATAGAAAGTCAGAAAGGTAGATTGTGGACAAATTAGGGAGAGATTCAAATGACTGGTTAGGAGGTTGGATTGTAAGTTTTTTAGTAGAGGAATACTGTATATACGTGCACAGAAAAAAGAAGATATTATCAATGAGAGCAATGAATAGGGTATCAGAGGACAAGGAATCTACTCCCAGTTCCTCCTCTAACTAGTGTTATAACTTCGCGCAAATCCCATGATGCCACTGAGAGTCTGTGTGTTGTCTAAGGTCCCTTCCATATTCTACATTGCAAAGTGATGCAGACTTGGGCTGAGGTGGTGACAGTGACCATGGAAAGGAAGGGAACGTTGTGACTGTTTGGTGACTGCTTAGGTCATGAGAGACCCAATGAAAGGAAACACCAGAGAAGATTCCAGGGTGTGAGCTAAAATGGGGAAATCAGGAAGAGTAGCAGGTTTAGAGGGGGGGAAAAAAAAGATGACCTTGGGCCGGCCCGTGGCTCACTCGGGAGAGTGCGGTGCTGATAACAACAAGGCCACGGGTTCGGATCCCATATAGGGATGGCCGGTTTGCTCACTGGGTGAGCATGGTGCTGACAACACCAAGTCAAGGGTTAAGATCCCCTTACCGGTCATCTTTAAAAAAAAAAAAAAAAAAAAAGATGACCTTAGTTTGGACATACTGAATTTAGGATGGGAGTAACATCCCAGTGGAAATAAATGTCCAAGGGATGGTTAGAAATGTGGATCTTGATTCTGGGAACTATTTGCAAAGGCAGAAGTTGGAAGCCATGAGAATGGAGGCCACATCTTCAATGTGACTCTATGTCATATGCCTCTGATGTCCTGTGGTCCAGAAATGCTAGTGGAAAGACAGGGTGGCAAAAGGAAATGCTGGAACCAATAGAAATGGAAATTTGTGGCTGTCCCTTGGAGGCCTGGGGATCAGCACACAGGGAGGCTTGAAGGAAATGTTCACAGGAGATCCTGGTTTCAAGGAGTGTCAGTGGAAGGTTGCAGCTTTGTCTCTGGTCTCTGCACAAGGCCCAAGCCTTGGCTCTGGCCATGTCAGGAAGCCAACCCACTTCCTCTCCAGATTGCCCTATCTGCAACTATGGGTTTTCTTTCTCTGCTTTTTCCCCTCTCCTCTCCCTTCAGGGGGCCTCTGGCAACCCAAAGTCATCCTAGCCATCTTATTTCTGCCCGATTGTCACCTATTCCCTCTCCTGCCCTCTGAAGTTTAAAAATCTGTTGTACGATTTGTCCCATCATGTCCTTTCCTTGAAATCATCACACTAATCACAGAGATTAAGCTCTACAAGTACCCCCTCCCCAATTATCTCCCTCCCCCCAAGTCCCCTCAGGATGAGACCTATCTCACTTTTCCACCCAAGCTTTTTTCAAGCTTTGTCAGTTCTCAGCTGAGTCTAGTTCAGTCCTGAGACCATTTTTTAATATAATTTTTTTTTGGGGGGGAGGGTGGCTGGCCTGTATAGGGATCCGAACTCTTGACCTTTATGTTACAATACCACTCTAACCAACTGACCCAACTGGACAGCCCCAGAGACCATTTTTATCTTAGTTCTTCCAGGCACTATGCCAAATGACCCATTCAAGGCTGATTAAGACTTGCTGACCCACACACAGGAAGTTCTGGGAAATGAAGGACACTTCTGGGTAGTTCTTTTTTTGGCAGTTGGCCAGTATGGGGATCTGAACCCATGACCTTGGTGTTATAAGGCTGTGCTCTAACCAGCTGAACTAACTGGCCAGCTCTCTGGGTAGTTCTAAAATAAATCCTTTCCCTCTTGTCTCTGACTGTAGGACAACCTATAGAGTGACAGTGTGACATGGAATGTAAGGTTAAGAATAGGTGACACTGTCTTTAACAAGTTACAGAACCTCGGCCAAATCAGTTATCTTCTGGACCTCAGTTTCCATCTAAAAAGTTATCTTGAGGGCTGGCCCGTGGCTCACTCGGGAGAGTGTGGTGCTGATAACACTAAGGCCACGGGTTCAGATCCCTATATAGGATGGCGGGTTAGCTCACTTTGTAGAGCGTGATGCTGACAACACCAAGTCAAGGGTTAAGATCCCCTTACCGGTCATCTTTAAAAAAAAAAGTTACCTTGAAGGCCCCCTTAAGCTCTGATAGTCTAGAATACTATGCACATGGGCCAGCTGGTTTTAGGACAGCCTTGGAAATCTGAAGCACTTCCAAGGCTATCTGTAATGTCACTTGCAATCTAGAAAGTTTACCTTCCAGGGTCAGCCTAGAGGTAGAAATTATATTAAAAAGGGAGGTGTAATTCTGATTCAACAGTAGACTTAAGTGTCTGGTTGGACTTGGATCTGCTTCAAATTTCCAGGAGACATGAAGTATAATGTTGTGGAATCCTTTAAGACCAAGACCCTCACTCTCTCAGAGCAGGGCCAGGAACAGACCGCTCATTTGCTGAGGGATGCATAAGGGAGTACATGTCTGGGGTTTCACCGATGTTATGTGGAGGGGACATGGACTTGGGATAATAAGTACGAAACTTCCAGGAAATAGTGGGTGGGGGCTGGGAGTGTGGTGGCAGGAGGCCAGGGGAACTACAGACTATTAAAAGTAGGAATGAGTTTAGGAGCCACTGGGCCGAAGCACAAGAGACAAACTGCTGATGATCCCAGTGCTGGGAAGCCCACTTTGGGCTAGTGCATCCCTGGCTCAGTGCACACAGGCAGCAAGTTGGTCCCCTGTCCCAGCTGTTTCAGCCCCATAGCCGCTCCTGTAGAGTTTTCTTTGGCTCAGAGAAGCAGAGCCCTCCTCTGAGCCGAGGCCCCCCTCTACCGCAAAGCAACTGGCTTCCATTACCCCTGACAGCTCCAGAGCAACAGCCCAGCCCCCGGCCCCAGGCTGGCTCGGTGCCGTTCCCTTTTATGGTGAAGCCGAGAGAGCAAGGAGTGAGGGGGGAGAAGGTTCTGGCTGGGCAGAGGGGTGTAGAGCTCTAGGGTGCCGCTCCCCTCGCCAGAGCTGCCTACCCGCAGCCACCTCTCTTTTCTCCTGGGCGACCCACTCTGCCCCGAACCCACCACCCCTCTTGCTTGTCTCAGCCCTTCCTCCTCTTCCACCTCCTTCACACCCGGGGGATGATTTCCCAGTGGCCGAAGTCCCACGTTTGGCGTTTGATTCCAGGAGGGTCCGCTTTATTTCCGACGCCCACCTCCGGGGGTGGGGTGGCGGGCGGGAGCCCGGGTAAGACAGGCACTGGTCAGAGCACAGGCAGGATCGGTGTACTTGGTTTGACGCGGGTCAGAAAGCCTGGCGCCGGAGAGAGCCCTGTGCCCACTCTGCGTCGCCTCCCACTTCGTCCCCGCCGCCCGAGCCAGGGAGGGGACACAGAGGGCACGACCCAAAGGAAGCACCTGGCTGGGCCGGACCGGGAAGCGAAGAGTGCACAGCAATGCGGGGGGCCTGGGCAGGAAGGGAGGTCGGAGCCTGCGGGTCAGGCCGAGTATCCCGCCCGGCCCCGCCGCCGCACTCTCGCTCTAGCCCACTCCTTCGCTTGGGGAAGGCGGCCACCACTGCTTCGCGAACCGCGTCCGGGGCCGCCCCAGCTGCGGCCAGCTGCGCCGCACCGCACAGCGCCGAGAAGCACGTCCGCGGCTCCGCCCCACCCGCTACAGCCGGACGTCCCACCGCGGCCCCGCCCAGCCCCGCCCCTTGCGAGCGCCGTGCCTGGAGCAGGCGAGACGGTGCGGCTAGAGAAGCCGCCGCCGCATCGCCCGGCGGAAGTGCCTAGTCTGGGACTAAGCTGGCGCTACCGAGTTCCGGTCCTGTTCTCCTACCTCGAGCTCCAGCGCAGACGGCGTCCCGGCCGAGCCCAGCTGATCAGGTGATGGGCCCCCCCACCTGGCAGCCCCGCGGTGGCTGGTCCGAGGGGGCGAGAACGGGTTCTGGCGAGGGCGAGCAGTGCGCCGGCCCGGGGCTCAGTCCCTCCTCTTCTCCGCAGGATGATCACGGACGTGCAGCTCGCCATCTTCGCCAACATGCTGGGCGTGTCGCTCTTCTTGCTTGTCGTTCTCTATCACTACGTTGCCGTCAACAATCCCAAGAAGCAGGAATGAAAGTGGCGCTTCTCCGCCCCAGGTAACCGTTGGGGGCTGTAGCGCCCAGCCCCCGGAAAGCTGAGTGGCGAGGCCGCGCCAGGGCCTGCAGGGTTCGAAACTTCAAGTCAGAAAGTGTCGGGCCAAACATGCCACAGTCCGGAACTGGGCCCCTTTATCCTCACAGAGTAGAGTGTGCTTTGCAGTGCCCTGTCCCCTTTCCCTAAACTCCCTGTTAGAATGGGGATGGGTTTCTTAATCCTCCTCAGTCCCCATCTTCTTGTGGTCCCCAGTAGGTAAATGCCCTAGTTGGGGGCATGGTTACAAGGAACCACTGACACCGGTAGGAACAAAGATACTGAGAGTGCCATCCAAGTATGGGGATCTGGGCTCTTCACTTAAATAGCTCGCATTTTCCCAGGGTTGTTCAGGCCTAATTTAGGCAGAATATTTTTGTGAGGAGGTGAAAAATGTAGAAATCTATTTCCATGTTCTGAGGCCAGGGGCATTGATTTAGGGGTTGACTATTATAGACCCAAGCCTTAGAAAAGAAAGCGGGGAGGGGCTTGGAAGCCATCCTCAAGTGTGGTCAAAAATGTAACAGGGAACAGGCTGGATGGGAGTTGACTATTCAAGGATTCCCCAGAGGAAAGCTGTAGCATTTTCCTTACCTCAGGTCTTTCCCCCTCTTTTCTAGGGTTCCAGGACATAGTCTGAGGCAAGATGGAGGGTGTGAGGGGCCTTCACACTTCACTTCATCCCTCTGCCCATCACAACATACAAAGCAACTACACCTGGATTTTTCCACACAACTTTTATTTCCTCAAAGTCTTCCTTAACCCTATGGAACCAGAAGCTGCCACTGAATAGGGCCCAGTATAGGGCTGCTTTCTTTTCTACTCTCCCCTCAATATAAAAAAATATATATATTTTTTGTGGTCCCAAAATCTTGTGCTGTGGGGGGTGGGAAGGGGTTGCAAGTCCCTGTTTTGTCCTGTCTCAAGGTGATGCTCTGTAATGCCTTCGACAGTGCAGCGGGCATTCCAAGGAGTTATGGTTGTCCACATAGAATCAGCAGCTGAGGGAGGGGACTAACGTATTTCTCACTGTGTACCCCCATCTTAGGGCTATATCCTGGGCATGGAGGTAAAGGCATTATCAGACCCGGGGAGAAACAGTGAGTGGGGGAGATTTAGGGACAAAACAAACCTCAGGTTGGCCCAAGGGCCCCCTGCTATAACAAATCCGGGATGGGGAGTCAAACAGACTACAGGAAATAGGAGAAAAGGCAGGGGCAGAGCAGGGTCGTGGGGGCCCAGCCTGAGGCAGCCTGCAACAGAGAAGAGAAAGGAATCAGGGTTGTCAAAACGCTGCCCCTCTTCTGGTCTGTTAGCCAGGGGCTGGGGAGTGAAAGAGGAGGGAGGTGAAGATGGGTAGGGATAGGCAGGTGGATTACTGCACAGTGGTCTGATGCTGGAACTAGCCAGCTCTTAGGCCTTAATCCCTAACTAGAAGTTGTTTTCTTTTAGGAGTGAAGACTGAGGCCATGGTGTGAAAAAAATCAGGGACTAAATTCTTAATGAAAGTACATTTAGTCTTTGGGGTCAAAGGGAATAGGGAAGGAAGGAAATTATCCTGAATGGCAGAAATGGGAATGAGGGAACAGAAGAAGTAAGAAGTGGGGTGAGGGACTGGACCCTGGTGCTCACCCTGGCGTAGCAGAGCAGGGTCCCAGCTCCGGCTCACTGCTTTCCCTGATCCGGGGAATAGGGGACGTGGGGACTGAAGAGCCTTTCATCCTTCTGCTAGTCGGCGGTGAGCCCCGGCCCAACCTGGGCCTAGCCTGTGTGGACAGGGTGTGGGCTAAGTGGCTGGATTCCTTCATGAGCTTTTTTGCTTCTAAGTTTGTTTCCAGAGTTTCCATGCATAAGAGTGTACTATAGGGGTCAACAGAGGTACTAGGACCTTGGATTCCTGGACAGTGTCCCTAGCTGAGAGGGTGAGGCAGGATTGACAGCCAGAAAACTCCCGGATTCAGTTCATGACTATGCACTCCATAGTCTTATGGAAGTAGGGGTGGCAAAAGGGTCCAGCATTTAATCTCCATGGCTATACCATGGTCACGTTCTGGGTGAGTAGAAAAGCACCATGTAGAAAGGTGGTGGAGGATTGGTAGACCTCCCTCAGAGCCTTCTATGCCTCAGCCCCTGACAGAATAGCTTAAGCGTCAACCATCCAGTCAGTGTCTCTTTATACCCAGCTTTAGCTAGCTAACCTAGTATGGGCATCTGGACTGCATCGGAGTTGGCAGAACTGTTCCTAGGAGCAGCAACCAGATGCGTTACCTGGGGAATCCGGGACCCCTCCTGGCGGAAACTCTCCTCGGGCCGGTCTGGGCAGAAAGAGAGGAGAAGCTAAGGGCAGGGGCAGGGAAAGCCAAAGCTAGCAGGCTGAGGTTGGGGTGTATCTGGCAGGGACACGGGTTGGAAGCAAGCAAGAGACCTGGCTGATGGGGATGGTGGGTGGTGAGCAGAAAGGGGGTCACATTGGACAGAAAGATGCACTCAGGTACAAGAACAGCTCTGATATGGCTGGGAGTAGAGGCTGTAAAACAGTGCTGAGCATTTTCCCTCCCACTACCCAGATGAGAGTGCCTTGCTGGGTTCTGCAAGTGTTGTACTAGGGACTGGGGAAGACCCCAAAATGTTACCTGCAATCGAGTCCTGATGCAGGAGATCCGAGCTCCAGTCCCTAGCAGACCTTTCCCAATCACCATGACAGCCTCTGGTTTGTCCCCTGAGGACAAAAGTGAGTAGCTGTTCCCTAGAGAACAAAGGAAACTGATCATCTGGGTAGAGGCCATAGAGAAGAGGATTTCTTAGAGAATTTCTTTTCGATTGGGGTTTCTCAACCTTAGCACTATTGACATTTTGGGTTGGATAATTCTTTGTTGTGGGGGCTGTCTTGTGCACTGTAGGATGTTGAGCAGCATCCCTTGCCTCTAACTACTATATGCTGTTTCCTCCCCAGCTCCCTCCCCATTGTAACAGTCAAAAATGTCTCCAGATGCTGCCAGATGTCTTCTGAGGGGCAAAATCATCCCTTGTTGAGGCTCTAGTCTGGTCCAAGGGGTGGAATATCAACTTGGGACTAGAATCCGAACCCACCAAAGCTTAACTACTGTGTAAGGTGTATTTATACACCTTAGAGCCTACCCCAGTTATACATTTAAGCATTTGAAGATCAAGTTGGGGCCGGCCTGGTGGCGCACTGCTACAGTGCACCGCTTGGGAGTGCGGTGGCGCTCCCGCCGAGGGTTCGGATCCCACGTACAGACCGGCCGCTCACTGGCTGAGCAAGGTGCGGACGCAACACCGAGGGTTGCGATCCCGTTGCCGGTCCCGGTCCGGTATGGGCGCGACACTGAGGGTTGCGATCCATTGCCGGTCACGAAAAAAGACAAAAAGGAAAAAAAAAAAAGATCAAGTCACCTGTACCCAGGACTGGTGGATTGAGATCTACCCATTGGGGAGAGTTGACAAGTTGGGAGTAGTGGGCTCTGAGTGAGGTAGATGTTGGACTGGAGCCCTAGAAATCATTCCCATTCATTCCTTTACACAGCTGGGTCTGTAGCTTAAAAGGAGAGTATATGGCTTAAATTCTGTGTGGATGATGTGTGTATACACAGCATTTGCAGTGCTGACAGGTGAAAGGCCTAGCCTGTTTTTCATTCTCCAGTTCTGTGTAATGTTGCCCAGCTCTTGGAGTTGGGAATTTGGGTAAGTAGCACTATGTAAGTAGAAAAAGTCCTTGGGTTCCTCAACTGTTGAAATGAGTATTAAATGAAATAAAGTGCATAGAGCAGTGGCTGGCACATAGTAAACGCTCAATAAATGTTAACTATTTTATTATACAAAGACATTCATTAATTTCTAGCTTCCTGTACAAAGGCACCAGTGTTAGGATGGATACCAGGTGCCCCTGGTCTGGGGTGGCCTGCGTTATATCAAGTCAAGAAGGAAGTCCAGGTCAGGTGGTAGTGTGGCTAAAGGGATGGCTTCAAGCCTAATCGGGAGCCTGGTCTAAGCCCTAGGTGGTAGGGAAGGGAGGAGACTGGCTAACCCAGATTTCAGTGGCAGTGGGTACAGACCTGATATGCTGAGTGAACCGGGTAGTAGGCAGGAGCCCAGGTTGTGTGAGGTGGCTGGGCCAGACCTAGCAGGAGTTGGGAATGGGACCAAGCCTCCTGCAGTAGGGTGATGGTTTGGTGGCTGCTGCCGCTGTCTCCTGTCCTGGCTTCGGGGCTCTGAGTGGCAGGCACACAAGCAGATAAAAGGGCAAATAAGCAAAGTGCTACGAGACAGCCTTCACTGACTCTCTGGCTCCCTTTGGTCTGAAGATGCCTGTTTTCAAGTTTGTCATCAGACCAGCATCCCTCTTCTGAAGTAACTATAAGATGGGTAGAAAAACCTCTAATATTTATTCCAATTATCCATTCCAGCCAGTCCTCATCCTACCAGTTCATTCTTTTGGTGAAGAAATTATTGAGTTTGGCTTCTGAAACACAGCCTCCCTGGGTTCTCCTCTTAGCTCTACTCACTCATCTCCCAGTTGCTCTTCGTGCCCCTTAAATGTCAATGTTTTCCACATTCTATCCTCGGTTCTCTCTTGTTCTACTTACTTTTAAACTCCAAGATCTCTCTCTAGCCCTTTTCTCCTGAAGTCCAGCAGTAATTGTCCACTGGACATTTTTCCCTGGAAGTCCCCCATGACCAAAACAAAACTCATTTTCTCCCTCCCTTCCTTTCATTCTCCCTATCTCGGTGAAAAACTTATCTGCGAGAAACCTTATTTCATCTTTCTACTTCTCCCTTACATTTAGATTTGTGTTTATCAGATCCTGACAATTCTACCTCTGTGTTTGCCTGCATTCTTCCTTTATTGTCCCTTGCCATTGCCCATGTCCAGATACAGGTCTTTAACTCCCATTAAGGCTTTTGAACCAATTTCCCTACTGGTTTCCCTCGCTTGAATCTCTGTCCTTTTACAGCCCATCCTTCACACAGGTGCCAGAAATTATTCTACAGCAAACCTGATCAGAAATCACTGGCTGGGACCGGCCCATGGCTCACTTGGGTGAGTGTGGTGCTGACAACACCAAGTCAAGGGTTAAGATCCCCTTACTGGTCATCTTTTAGAAAAAAAAAGAAAGAAAGAAATCACTGTGGTTCAGGCAACACTGGAGGTTTTCTCTCTCTCTCTCTCTCTCTTTTTTTTTTAAAAAGATGACCGGTAAGGGGATCTCAACCCTTGACTTGGTGTTGTCAGCACCACTCTCTCTCTCTCTTTTTTTTTAAAAGATGACTGGTAAGGGGATCTCAACCCTTGACTTGGTGTTGTCAGCACCACGCTCAACCACTGAGCTAAGCGGCCATCCCTATATGGGATCCGAACCCGGGGCCTTGGTGTTCTCAGCACCACACTCTCCCGAGTGAGCCACGGGCCAGCCCCTCTTTAATACTATTTTCAAACATAGTGCGTAAAAGTGTCCTTTCACATTGAAGATAAGCCACAAAGAATGGGGCTTGGAATATACGCAGAGATAATCAGATTGCCTATCAGGGATAGAACATCTGAATGGTCAAACCTGGTAAGGACCATTGCTTTCTCCTCTGTGGCTTCTCTAACTAGCGCAGTCAGATATACACAGCCACTGACCCAGTGCACGTCTGGTCTGTACCAAAATCTAGGCCGCAAGCTGCATAGCAGGGAAATGCTAACAAGGATGAATGCAGCTGAAGACCAGCAAAGCTCATAGCTCCAGCTTATAAGCCTCCATACTCTGGCAAGATTTCTGTAGCCCAGAAGCCACATACAGTATTGACTTGTGATTTAGAGTAATTCCAGAAGTAGCATAACAATCTCTCCCCCT